AGTCCGCGTGTGACCTTTTCGTGATGCAAGTGCCACGAAGCGCTATTTCCTGCTCTCGGCTCACCACCTCGCCCTCTCTGTCGCTCTCCTGGCCTAGGCCCATCAGTAGCACGCCCGAGCTGTCCCGAACCGCACTTATCTCGGGTCTTCAAGCTCACATTGGCTCGTGATGCCACGGAGTGGATTCGAGATTGCCCCCCCGGTGGACCCCATCCGACGCGATTGTGAGGGCTTTCCGGAGGTCATTATCGGCGCCATCGACTGTGAAATGTCCTGTTCCACAGCCCTCACGCACCAGGCGCATAGATACAGTCATAATATGTAGGCCTTCTCTCCCGAAGTTTGGAGCACTAGCCACAAACGGCGCTTTTCGGCACGAGTTCATGTCGCGTCACGTCCAGGTGCCGACGAATCGGCTTACCAGCTCACCACCTCGCCCTCTCTGTCGCTCTCCTGGCCCAGGCCCATCAAAAGCAAGCCTGAGCTGTCCCAGACCGCACTTTTCTCGGGTGATGAAGCTCACTCTGGCTCATACCACGGCTCTTACGGCCTCACACACGCCAGTTTCACCCACAGACACCGCCGGCACGCACTCCCACTTCACACATGCTCAAGCACAACCCCACCAAAGCACAGCCCTGCTCAGAGTAGTCGTGAACCACCCTTTGGCAGCCGTGGAAGCCCCACAGCCGCTGCTTCTCTCGGCTCCTCTCAATGCGTGTCGTGCACCACCCCACGACAGCCCACCGAAAGAGCACTGGTGCTCTCCGAGTGCGCCGCCGATGTGATTGTGCAACGTCAGCCACCTCGCCGGAGGTAGTTGCGACTGGGAACGCCGGAAGCTCGACGCTCGAGCACGTGTGGCAAAGTTTTGCGACATCCTGCTACTCGACCCCCGAGGGCTGCCGGCCGCCGACAGCAACACCGAGACCGGATTGCGCAGCGAGTTCGGTCCGAATGTGCCCAGGGCCAGCCCGTGGACCGGTACGGACGCCAGGTACCCATGGGACCGCTGCGGCGGGCCTGGGAGGCGCCACGAGTCCCAATGACGCACGTGCGTCCCCAAGCTCTGAAATAGGCCTTTAAGAGTTGTTTGGTGCTAAAAATCTCTCTCATAGTGCTAGCACGCGCCAATTCGCACCTGTGTCGAGCCTGTCTGCTGAGAGAGAGAGTTGTTTTGTTTAAAATCTCTCTCATCTTAGGATCTCTGAGGTGTGAGCTATGCCTTGTGACCTCTGAGGCTCTGTGCAAGAGTGCGTTTCCTTCTCTCTCTTCTCTCTCTCTTTTCTCTCTCTGCTCTCTCTCTCTTCTCTATATCTTCACTCTCTCTCTCCGTCTCTTGACTCTTCCCTCCCTTCCCTCTCTTTCCTCTCTGTGTCCTCCCTTCCCTCCCTTCTCTCTCTCTCTTCTCTCTTCCGCTTCCCTCCCTTCTCTCTTTCTTCGCTCTCTCTCTCTTCTCTCTTCTTCCCTCTCTCCCCTCCTCTCTCTCTCTCTCTCTCTCTCTCTCTCTCTCTCTCTCTCTCTCTCTCTCTCTCTCCTCTCTTCTCTTCTCTCTCTCTCTTCTCTCTCTTCTCTCTCTTCTCTCTCTTCTCTCTCTCTTTATTCTCTCTTCTCTCTGTATTCTCTCTTCTCTCTTTATTCTCTCTTCTCTCTGTATTCTCTCTTCTGGCACGTAGGCCAACACATGTGCTGATTGCCGTCCGCAGTCCAGTCTTTCTCCAGCTCCACGACCACAGGCTCTCTCCAGCGGGCGGCTGCCGAACTCGAGGCAGCGTCAACACTCCCAGGGAGAGGACACGCCGAGACGGCGGCACACCCCCACAGGTGCCACATCCATCCCCCACCGTGCAGGTCCTCGCTAGGTCAACCACGCCCTGATTGCCACTCGCGCTCCAGTTCTAGTCCAGCTCCACGACCACAGGCTCTCTCCAGCGGGCGGCTGCCGAACTCGAGGCAGCGTCAACACTCCCAGGGAGAGGACACGCCGAGACGGCGGCACACCCCCACAGGTGCCACATCCATCCCCCACCGTGCAGGTCCTCGCTAGGTCAACGACGCCCTGATTGCCACTCGCGCTCCAGTTCTTGTCCAGCTCCACCCCCACAGGCTCTCTCCAGCGGGCGGCTGCCGAACTCGAGGCAGCGTCAACACTCCCAGGGAGAGGACACGCCGAGACGGCGGCACACCCCCACAGGTGCCACATCCATCCCCCACCGTGCAGGTCCTCGCTAGGTCAACGACGCCCTGATTGCCACTCGCGCTCCAGTTCTTGTCCAGCTCCACCCCCACAGGCTCTCTCCAGCGGGCGGCTGCCGAACTCGAGGCAGCGTCAACACTCCCAGGGAGAGGACACGCCGAGACGGCGGCACACCCGCGTATGTGTCACATCAAGCAGTGGCCCTCCAGGTGCGCCGGCACGCCTAGCTGACATGCGCATTCATGCATTGGCACCCTGCAGGGGGTGGCTGCCGAACTCGAGGCTGTGTCAACAGTCCTGAGGGAGAGGACAAGCCGAGACGGCGGCACGCACCCCTGCATGTGCATCAGTCTGCCACACAGAGGCATATAGTCGCATTCGTTGAGCTTCCTGACCGTCCGGCGACCACAGGTCAGTCACCGGGGACCGGTCAGTCCGCGTCAGCTCGGTCACCACACGGCACTCTGCAGCGCAATGGCGGCACGCCCACGTGCACTCGACTTAGTGACGGTGCCCCGTTAGTGCCGCGTCCTGTGCGAGCCGGTTCATTTTTACCAAGTGCCGCCGCTTTGGATGATCGGCCGTCGGCGACGGTTTCCACATTTTTGCCGGTGCCGCTGGGGGTAGTGCCGGGGGGGTGGGTGTGTTGGGCGGGGGCGCGCATCGTTGGGGTGGCAGCGCGGCAGCGGCACCTGGGTGGCGTCAGCGGCGGTGGACGACGAGCGAGAGACCATGGCGCATGGCCATGAGAGGCTCGTCAACCGAGGGTCGCCTATTCACAGGCGTCGTTTGGGCAGACCGTGTATGTCTGTAGCTCTTACGAACGTACCCGAGGTTTTAAAAAAGGAAAACGTAAAAAGAAGGCACAAGTCGCGCGCGGCGGGAGACCGACGGGGGCGTCACACACTGGCCCCGAGCACGGGAGCGCGAGGAATACACGTTCACCTCGGGACTGGCGTGCGGCGCGGTGTGGCTTGCGGCGCGGCGCGGCGTGGCATGGCATGCGGCAATGCACCCCCTGGGTTGACACACCGACGTATATCCTGTACTCATGCAAGAGGAGCGGGAGAGTTGTGCGGCGTACGGCACGGGGTGTGGCCGCGGCATGCGGGTACGGAGGGGCGTGCGAGCACGGCACGGCCCGGGCGCAGGCGGCAGCGGTGGCACGCGCCGTCCGCTGGCCTCAGTGCCAGCCGCTCAGCCGCGCTGCCGCCTGCGCCGCCTCGAGCGCGTGCGCCGTGGGGAAAGAGAGTTTATGTCGAGGAGGTGCTCCGCGGACACTTCCCGCCACCCCCTCCGCAGCGATCTCCGGCGAGTTCGCATGCGGGCGGCCGGGAGGCGGGGCAGAAGGCAGGGCGGGAGGCGCCGCTCCGTCGTTGCTGTTGTGCCGCGCAAGCGGCTGGTGCCGCGCGCGCTGGCTTTCGCCTGCACGCCCGGCGGTGAGGAGGGACCGGACGGCAATACTCCTCGCCTCCGCCATTCCAGTCGCGGCGACCCACGTGTGCCGCCAGGGTTGCCTTCGAGCGCGGAATGGCGGAGGCGGAGGCGGCGGCTTGGTTTTCTTCTTTTTGTTCGAAGGGGAACGCTGCCGAACAAAAAGAAAGCAAACCTGCCCTCGCTTGTCGAATTCACGCTCTTCACAGCTCGCTCTCATGTTTTGTGACGCTCCCCTTCTCCAGGGAGAGATTTTAGAAAACCAATGGCTCTCGGCGGCCCTCGCAACCCTGCAATGAGAGCAAAGGCTTGCTTTCTTAGCTTAACCCCGCAGCGCCTGCACAGACAGTGGGCACTCCACAAACTGCACGCGGTACCCGTGATATGCGCCCCTGTTGTCCACGTACCGGACTGCTGGGCCGTAGCGCCCGTCCCGGGGCTCCCGGTCGTCCTTGGGTAGCAGCGGCCGGGTCCTCTGCCACAGGAGGCGCAGGCCGAACGCAGGCCCCATCTTGATGCCCAGCGCCTCGGCCACCGGCTGCAGCCGCAGGAAGAGGTGCACAGCGTCCTCCGGATCGGAGGACGCTGTGACCTCCGTTCCCTCGCATAGACGCACCAGCCGCTTGCCGCCCCGCAGCAGCGTCCGCGAGTCGTGCATCTGCGGCTTCATCAGCTCGACCATCGCGTCGACGGGCGCGCCAGCAGCGAGCTGCGCGAGGTTGTGGTCAAAGACGGAGATGCCGAGCGAGACGCGAGCCTCGCTCGACCCAGCCTCCCGCATGTGTTGCAGCCAGAGGCGCGGGACGCGCTGCGGCTCGAGCAGGATCCACAGGTGCGCTTCCTCGTTGCGGGGCAGGCCGTTCGGATTGAAGATGAGGTGCGCTCGCGCCGGCGGCGGCAGCGCCGAGCCGCGCGGTGGCGCCATTTGGTGCGCCAACTCGTACGCCCGGCGCACCTGCGATGACGAGTAGTCGTCGCCATCGCGGCCGATGGCTTCCAGCTGCGTACGCAGCTCGGCCGCGCTGCAGTAGCCTGCCATCGGACGCGAAGGGCCCGTCGGGGAGCCAAGCGGCGTCCACAAAACAAACTTCGATCGGGAAAGATTTTCTTTCTAGTGCGCCGAGGTAGAAGGAAAACAGCACAAGCAATTTTCTTTAGCGGGCTGCCTCCGGACAGCGGCGTGCACGCCATGGGGCAGCCGCCGGACAGCCCCACGGCTGGCCGGGCCGCCGTCCCCGCTCCAGCGGCGGCCCGGCTCGGCTGGGCCACGCCCTCCGCCGGGCGGCCGCAAGGCGCAGCGCCGGAGCCGGCGGTGGCGCAGGCGCTGTGCGAGCCGCTCCCCGCAGAGGTCGCAGCCCTCACAGACCTGATGCCCGCCACGTACCGCACGGGCGTCGTGAGCATCGCGTCCCGCGCCGGCGCCGAGCTCGGCGGCTCGACCGATGCGGACGACTCCTTCTGGCGCGACATCGAGTCTGACCCAGACACCGCTGTTCTGCGCACGGTGCACGCGCTCGTGCTGGAGAACGCGCAGCCGGAGCGGCGGGACGCGTGGGAGCCGCGACTGACGGAGCTCCTGACTCCGCCTCTCGTGACGCTGCGCGCGCGCGCCGCCACCTTTCGCCGCCTCAAGTCGGACCAGGACGGCGACTGCTGGAACCGCTGCGCGCGCTGGGACGCGGTGCCGCACACCTCCCTCCTCCGGGTCGAGATCGAGGCGCTCGACTGGCTGGCCGAGTACCGCGTAAAGATTGGAGAGGGAGTCGAGCCCGTCACGGACGAGGTGACGGCGTGCCCCATCTGCATGTGCGGCGTCACCGGGGAAGTGGCGAGCGAGGAGGATGTCAAGGCGGGGCGCGCCGTCCGGATAGCCATGTACTGGCCCTGCTATCACAGGGCCTGCTCGAGCTGCCTCGCTAAGGAGGCGCTCGCCTCGGCGGCACGCGCGCGTGGCCTTCCGGCTGACAAGAGGGCGATCACGGCTAAACTTGAGAGCCCCGGAGCCGCTGCCGAGGTTGAGGCGGCTGTGCGCGCGGGCCGGCTGCGGTGCCCGCTGTGCCCTGCCATCGTCGAGTGGCCCTGGGACGAGTCGAAGCCGTGGTTCAAGGGCGCCACATCCATGCCCCCCGCAGACTAGCGCTCGAATTGAGCTGGCGGGGAGGAAGCGGGAGGGGGGGGGGGGGGGGGGGGCCCCGGCGCGCGGGGAGTTTACTCCGCTCCCTTTCTCCTCGGGGTGCCTCCACCTCTAGGAACGACGCGCCGGCGCTCCGGGTGCCTCTCCGGCTCTCCGCCGCCGGGGCGCCACGTCCGTGCACGGCTCGTGCACGGCTCGCGCCGCTCTCGTGCTCGTGGCTCTCTGACGGGGAGCATCTTTAGTACGTCCTCTCGTTGCAGAGGATGTGGCGGGCTGCGGCGTGCTGCTGCTCCCTCCCTGCCGACCGGGACCCCGCCTGCCTCGCCGGCGCGTGGCGCTCGGATGCGGTACCTGTAGTGTCCTCTCGCCCTGTGCTTCCCCGGCGAGGGGCATCAAGCCGCCGGAGCGATCGCAGCCGGTGTGCGTGTGTAATCGTGTAGTGGCGCGCATGGGGCAGCGGCTCGCTTTCACCTCGCCTCTCCGCCTCAGAGATCGATGTGACTCAACACGTGTCTGTCTCAGCTTCCTGATGACCCTTTACACAAATAAACAGTACGTGCGAGGATTGCAGTGCGATGCGGAGGGGTGAGACATAACACTGGAGAGCGACAACGGGGGGAGATGTCCACACGCACACAAGAGCTGCGCGCCGCGCCGCGCGGGTCGAAGTGCAGTCGCGCGCCGGCCCGCCACAGCTCCTGCAGAGACTCCCCGCCCTCCCTGCCACCCCTCCACTCCAGTACGGCATGCTGCCACCCTCGTGCCTCTCCCTCTCTCTCTCTCCACCCCCTCCCTCTCTCTCTCGGAGCTCCAAACCCCCAGACAACCAGGCCATGTCGCATGTGCGACTGTGTGTGTGTGCGTGTGTGCGTGTGTGCGTGTGTGCGTGTGTGCGTGTGTGCGTGTGTGCGTGCGTGGGTGTGCACGAGCGCACCCCTGCACAGCGTTCGGGCTCAAGGCGCGGCCCCATGCTGTGTGTGTGTGTGTGTGTGTGTGTGTGTGTGTGTGTGTGTGTGTGGGTAAACCGCCGCGGTCGCGTCCCTGGCCGCTGCCGGCCTCCGCCCCGTGCCACTCTTCGCGCAACGCCTGCGCGTCGCGCGCCTCCCGGCAGCCCGGGCTCTGGACTCATCAGGCCACCGCCGGCGCCACCGCCTCCGCCTCCTGCAGCGCGGCCAGCACCACCTCCGGGTCCACGAGCGCCGGCTCCTCGCCAGGCGCCGCCGCGCTGCGCCGCTCGAGCGCCCGCTCGAGCTCCCGCTCGGCGAGCACGTCGCCCTCATCGATCGCGAGCGTGCGCAGGACCTCGGGCTTGGCGCCCACGGCGAGGAGCCGTTCGGCGAGGCCGTTGCGCACCAGGCTGACGACGGCCGAGTGGCCGTGGTTGCGGCGCAGCTTCGCTGCGCGCACCGCCGCGATCTCGTTGTCGCACTCGGCCCAAGTTCCGGGGGCGAGGAGGGTGGTGAGCAGCGTCGCGCCGGCACCCGCCCCCGCGGCCTGGCGCGTCGGGAGGGCGACCACACGGCCGCCCAGTGCAGCCGAGGCCGCGTCGATGCGGCTCTGCGCCGAGCCAAGCGAGCTCACCGCGTCGTCCGCGACGGCGACCCACTTGCACTTGTAGGGCGGGTCGAAGGTCGCAGCCTACCATCGTTGGGTGTGGCCGGTCAGAGGGGTGGGCAGAGGGGGGCGGGGGGGGGGGACTGGGTGGCCCAGTGCGAGCGACAGGGGCTGTCGGGGCGTGCTGCTGCAGCGCGAGCTAGTCGAGACTGGAGGGAAGGTTCCGGGAAGGTTACGAGAAGGGTCTGGGAAGGCGCCGCAGGCGTGCGGCCAAAGGCGGCGGCTGGAGAGGGCTGGGACGGGCAGGGATGGGGCTCCTGATGAAGGCTGGTGTTGGGAGGTCAAGGGTGGAGCAGA